TTTGAGTTTAAATTTAGATTTTTATTGCCCTTGGAATGCTGAAATAAACGTTCAGTCCCACTGGTGCAACTCCAGGAAGAGACTTTATTAAATTCCTCTGTTCATGAAGGTGTGTGCCTTCCTTCTATTCATTACCAGGCATGCAAGTCACATAACAAAGCTGAGCTGGTTTTATTCTTATCCAATATGTATCTTATTATGCTTAACAGAATTCTGCAAGGGCAGTTCCCATTAGCAAGTGGTATCAGGTAAGAGCTGAGCATTCCATCAGGGGTCTCTGGAGTTAAACTCAGATCTGACACACCCAGGGCCTACCAGGGAATGGTCACACAGCTTGGTCTTTACTCCTCTAGCCTGGGATAGAGAGATTCCATTTCTCTGTTTCCATTTAGAATTAACTCAAATCAAATCAAACCAATCAGCTTACTAAGGTGACATTGTGGAAACACAACAGAAAAATTAAACATCTGAGGTTTTAAAAGGCAAACCTAGAATTTGTTTATTTGTAAGGAAAGAAGGCTTGAATACCCCAATATTAGTAAGATGCACTAGCCTTGCATGCCTAATATTCAACCAGCAAAAGAGAAAAGTGGTCCCAAGCAGAAGTAACAACTCTGACATAGGAGCAACCTGACACATCATAAATTAAAAAACATTGTTTTGTCTGAGATTTCATCATCACTTCCCAAATCAAATCTGTCCTGGTTTTAAAATAATTTAGCTAATTGGGAAACAGCAACCCTTCTCTTACAGGAAAAGGAAAGATTCACCCATTTCCCTACTTGCTGTGCAACTGGAGACAGCATTCCTTGTTTCCAACACAGCAGTGCCTAATGCTGCAGGGCCAGGGCAGAACATTTAAGGTAACAGTTGCAATATGCAGTGAAGCAGAGCTTGCTGCACATCAGACCAGATGCAAACCATCATTTGCCTCAATAAATAAATAAAAAAATTAATAAAGTTGCTATGTAAGTTGGAAGTTAGGCAGATTCCTATAACCTGAAAATAGTTTCTTGGGCAAGATGATGATAACAATGCTTATGAAAAATAAACCAAAAGTGGTGTGTCTTTTCATACAACCTATCATTATTTTATTGATGTACTCCCATCAAATCTCATTCAGTTCTGCTTTTCTTTCATCAAAGGTCATAAGTATTCAAGGCACTGGGATCATGCCACAAGTTGTAGGTCCACACTGGCAGCAGAAAAAATTTCATTTGTAGGAAATTTGACAGAGGTTATACAAATCTTTTTCTGGTAAGAGCAGCTGTACTTGGTATGAAATGCAGTGTTAAATGAGAGTAGAGCATGGAACATTTTATAATTATAATTCTCCATTGAATTGTTTACTTTTCAAGGTGGCATAGAAGGAAATATTATGGTTTTAATCATGTTCATTACAACAGAAGGGAATTTGTGATCTAACCTCTAAGAGTAAGTTTAAAGAAGAATCTGTCATTTTTGCTGGCTCATTTTTGAGATTTATATTTTGTGGTGGCTTGTGGTGGTTTTGGTTATTTAAAGACAGAGAGGAAGTTTGAGGAGAAAGCTGAGAGGTTGTTTGTAGTTTTAGACACTCTCTGAGCAATAGAACCAAATTGTATTGTCAGTGCTTCTCTGGTCCCCTTTACCCAGAGGAAAGTTTGTGGGTATTTTTTCTTTCTGTGTACAATGTAAACAAAACCTGCTTAACCTTCCCTTCCTGTCCAGCTCCTAACCTATTCACTTAGACTGGCCTAGATGGGCTTTCTTTTGCTGGTTTGGGGGAGTTTCTTCCATCTTTTGGCTTTATTTCTCACCTTTTCAAAGCAGTTGTTTTTCAGATAGCTTGCTACTTGGGGTTCTGGCCCTTCCTCCTCTTCTACATTATTTTGAACTTTAATTTTACATCTTTTACAGAGCTTTTGATTTTTTTTAACCTCTACTGCTGCCTTTTATTTATGCTTTTATAGATATCGATAACATTATGAATTATATAATACAATACAGAAATAAAACTCACTCAAATTGAAACTTCCTGCCATTTTCTTCCAGTTTCTGAGACTCCCTATGAATTTATTTTAAAATCTCCTTTAATCCTCCTGCTGGACTGATGTTTCCTTTCACAAAAGGAGGACACTGTTCCAGACACAAGAAATGACATAGCATGAAGGAAATAAGGAAATATGTCCTGAGTCACGAAAGCAGAGAAGAAATACAAGTGAAACAGACTTGAGAGAGGATTAAATCCACAAAGTGGAAGGGACAGAAAAGTAGGATGGAGCTCTAATTGAAAGGAATAGAGGACTGACTCTACATAAGGACTAGGTGGATCAGGGAGGGAGAACTTGACCAAGGGAGAGCCCTCTCACCTTTTAGCTCCCTTCATCATCCTCCCTCTGCCCAGGGAGGGCTGGGAGCCCTCCTGGCAAACCTTTCCTGGCCACAGTCAGTGCTGAAGCTCCCAAGGAAAGCATTCAGGACAGGAGCTGCTCTCAGAGGGTCACACAAGCCCTGCCAGGGTGTAGGGATGCACCTGCCCCTCCTTCCAATGGTGGGATGGATATCTGGGCTCCAAGGAACACAAGTCAGTTCTTGTTCCCACAGCAGCAACAGAAGGGAAAAGCTGTATCTAAGGTCTGCAAGTCAATGCAGTTTGTGAATAAATGGTTGCCTTTCCTGCTGCTCTGGATGTCTGATACGAGCTAAGAGCTCACTGCTACGAGCTGCCCACCCAGCAGAGTCTGTCAGCAAGGAGAGCTGAAACAACCCCAAAATCACAGCACTGCCTGGGCACTGACAGCACCCTGCCCCTGCCAGCTGCAGCTGGGAGCCTCCTTTGGCCCCTTACAGAGCCAGCCTGGCCTTTCCTCAGGCCCTAAAGCTTCTTTCTACTCCTAGCCACTGTTTTGGAGAGTCCATGTTTACAGCAACTAAAGCACTCTGCACTCATCAAAAGCAGGGTCACAGCTAAACCAGAGCCCCCAGCCACAGATGCACTGCTGGATCTGCCAGCAGTGACCACTCTGTAGTGTGAGCCACCAGCACCTCAAACAAGAGCTGTGCCAACTCAAAAAGCTGGAAAGGGCATCATTTTCTTCAATTATTCCCATGGAATGCACAACTGGAGTTTAAAAAACTGTGATCTTTAAACATTCATCCTTCTGAATAGGAAGTTGAAAAAGTAAATCCCTCTGAGCATCACAGCTATACTTAAAAGATGAATCCCACAATAAAAAAGATTTCATATGGATAACTGATACATTGTCTACTAGGTGGAGAGAAAAAAAAATACCCCAAGCTATGACAAGTTTGCTGTGTAGGTGATATATGGTAGTAATTGACATCCTAACAATAGGAGACTATAAAGATACCTTGAAATTATTTTCTTTTCTATTTCTTCCCTATCTGCTTTTCCTCCTCCATTTCTTCAGTAAGGCAGATCTACCAGCAAGACAATTTAATCTTCCAGGGATAAAGAAAGCCTTCCTTGTCTAAGAAAAATAAAAACTTCTACTGGTCAAGGACAGAAAGCCCAAGAGAAGGAATTATCTCCTGACAGTGAGCTATGTTTTTTTATCTCTAGAAACGGAAGCAGCAGTGTTCTGGAAGAAATAACATTGATTTAGCTGGAATGTAAGGAAGACATCTTCTGCTTGATGTATGTAGCCTTCTGGACAAGGGTAGGACAATAGCTTGTATTCCCTGAACAAAATACCTCCTACTGTGTTTTCTCTATCATTTAGTGAGAAGAATTTTATTCCCTTGTAACTTTTAACTCTGAAACATGAGAAACTTCATGCTCAGTCATGAGCCTGGATAGATACTTATTTAATAAGCTACCAATTGGATAATTCTCCCAGGTTCTTTTGCCATGCATAGCTGGGAGAGGGAAGAGCCATTGTCCCATCCAGCATGGATAATAAAGCAAACCACAGCAGCCAAAGACACTGGTACAATTTACCTCCTTGGCAAAACAAACACAGAAACCAAACCTCAGCTATTGTACAACTTTACAATGTAGAGAAAATCTTTCCATGAGTTTTGCTATTGCACTTCCCAACATAGCAGCATGCCAGCCAGGTTCAGCAATATTTACTGAAGCAACTTATTAGCCAAAGAAACAAACTCGCTCACTTGGGCTTATATGTAAACACAGAACAATCCTCCACATCTGTCCTCATGAACATACTTTTGCCATCCACCCTAAAAGCAGCTGACTGTTGCTTGTGATTTCTGCTAAAGGAATGTTCCACTTTTCAAACGGCCACTTTTATCTGCTGGCTTAAATATAAAACAACTCTTGTACTTCCATTATCTAGCTGAAGGCATACAGAGCTGGCAAGTTTATGTTTAAGTGCTTTAACTTAAAAATCAGGAAGCACCTTGTTGCTTTCAACTCCATGGACACACTTTCTACTCCAGTGTTTTGCAAAATGTTAGGGTCCTCAACAGAGTAACTAGAGATATCAGTATCCATCTCCATCCTTTCCTGAGGAGCAGTCAGAGATGTGGGGAGCCAATACTTCAGCCAGAATGAACATATTACTGGTTTCCAGCAGAGACCCTAATACTGAATATCAACAGGGTTCTTCTAAACAAGAAAAAAAATTAAGTTAGAAAAGGAAAAGCCCAGCACGAACAACCTACAAAGGTAGTGGGGAAAACTGGAAAGGGCTACTAAAGGCAAGAATTATTTTAAGTTAATCTCAGAGATGACAGGAAGTCAATACACAGAGGCAGGCACAAACTCAGTTAGCACAGCCAAGAGGCTCTCCTCCTGATTGGCAAGGCTGAAGTATTGGGCCTTTTGAGAAGAAAGATTACCAAAGCAGTTAAAACTGAAAAGCTGCACAACTCATGGAGGAAACTCAGCAAATGAGCAACTGTAACAGAAGGAATACACAAAAAATATACCAAGATATAAAGGACTCTTGCACATTACTGATGTTGTGGACGTAACCCCTGTGGCAAAGGGTTTAAAACTCTGCTACACCTGGTCAGGTGTGGCCAGGGCTTACCTTGCCTGCCCAGAAGTGCTCAGTGCTTCCTCCCAGGTAACATCCCTTTGCTCCAAGCTTGCAGAAATGTTTCTGTGCTGCTCAGCTGTGGAAAGGAGCCTCTCCCCATCCTCCTTTGCCCTGAGAACAGACACAGGGTTAGTGCAGCCTGGCCACAGGGTAACAGGGGGAAAACTGCCACAAACTGCAGAGCTAAAGGGCTGAGCAAAAGCCTCTGAGTCAGGCAGGAGCTCACTCAGCTGCTCAGAGAACAGCAGCCTTTGTGCAGCAGCATTCATTAGACACCAGTGTAGATACAGTGAGACAGAGACACGGTGTGATGTGATATGCTGTCACCATTAAGGTAGGATGTGACAGATACATTTGGAAAATATAAAATATATTCACACAGCTTCAAATTGAGAGAATACACAAGCAGCCAACCTGAATGAACAGCCCTGCCTTCTTTGGAATGTGCTGACATTGATAGCACTGATCAGATCAGCTCCTAATTATATCAATTTATAAGCCATACCCCAGTGTTGTATTTGCAACATCTTCAGCTTTGCTGAAAGCACAATACAGTAAGGGAACATTAAAAGCATTATACTAAAATTACCATTCTGCAGTTGATTTCTGATTATACAGGACTCATCTTCCCAGCTGCTGAAGCATAACCAAAGGGATTTGGCTGCATTTCCATGTTCTGGGCATAAAGCAGCCATGACCAAACCTGTGGGCACTGACTGGCTGGCCTAGAGAGCTGCACCTTCAGTTTGCCTGGTGTCAGGAGCCAACACCACCTCACACTATGACCATCTCAGCCACAGAGACACAAAACAGTCAGAAACAAAAATTCTGTTTGTCCTTGATATTGTGTTCTCCAATACATTCATTTTGTCTTAAAACAACTCCAGAACAGTACAGCTATTTCCTTTCCCACACAGGACAAGTATTCAAATCTTCAGTGCCATCTGAAGGACTGCTAGTAAATGGAGGAGAGACAGCTTCTTCCTAAAACCATTGATAGTTTCAAGAGAACTACTACTATTTAAACAAATACTTTACTTGATATATTCAGTTCCAATGCTTTTTAATGGAATCTTTTTTTGTCTTCAAAATATATAAATATTTAAAGAGGAAAATTTGTCATGGGACTAAAACAGGTTATGCACCTAAACCCCTACACTGATAGAAATTTACATGACAATCACCAGTTAACACAGGACCACTCTGTGACATTCCAGTTATTTAAAAAAAAAAACCAACCAAACAAACCAACCTGCCCTAGGCATCTCTGGACAACATTTTTTGGGACAACAGCATCATTCCAGCATGTGTTTACTACTGAAACCATTTACTATCTCAATAGTTATCCAGAATTCTTACATGATGTTGAAAACATGGCCAAAAGAATTCAGTTATGTTATATAAGGCTCCATGAAAAAATTTAAATGAAATATGAGAAAAAGAAATATTAATGTATTTCTTCAAAAGTTCTGGTGATCCAAATAATCCCTGTCTCATGCAAGTGTATCTACTGCTCACAGGAATTCAGGAAATGGGACTGGAATGTATTTCTGTGACAGCAGCTTCCTGAGTTCTGCCATAATTTCCCACAGTCAGAATGAGTTGCAAGAATCTGCACTGCAACACAACTATGCAAATTCATGTCAGCAGAAAAAACTCATTTAATGACCCAATGGAATTAAAACCATATCTTCAAAACTGAGCCCTGGCATCTCTACTTTAAAAAAGAAAGATCCTCCTCTTCCTGCTAAAAGGGAAAGCTGATTTTACTCTTAAAATATTTGTTTCAAAGTCCTTTCTTGTCAATAAAGTCCTTCAATTATGTATATTAGGAAAATAAATATGACTTTCACAGGTCAAAATGCTGTGTTAAACCCGTGCTTCAAGACAGTGATGTCTTAGTTCCATAGAGGGAAAAAAATTTAATTCCAAGTTTGGTCGGAGCTGTGCAATTGTTCATGTACACGATAGGCTAAATGCAAAGCTGGTAGGTTTACATTTATTAATGGTGGTTAATTCCCAGCAGAGCTCTCAATTAGCTTAATCAAGCCACAATAGGGGCCTGGGAATATTGCAGGAAACTCAGTGAAGGTCTCTGCTCAGAGAGGCTGCCCGCAGGACAAAGCGCACAGCCCAGGAATTGGGAGTCTCTGCTGCGGATGCAGCAATGGCTGAGCCTCGTCTCGCTCTTCTGGACAGAGCTGCTCCTGCCATTTCAAAGGAGGTGTTTCAAAACTAGAGGCTGAATCCTCTGGGTTGTGTGAACAATTGAGCCTTTGGAAAGGCTCTTCGAAGACTAAAATAGTGAGATTAATCACTCAGAAGACAGCAAAGGAACAATAAAACCAGATTAAAAAGAGAGACATCAGAAGCTTCTTTTTCCCTCCACCTTGACTAACAGAATTGTAGGGAAATTCAGCTCTATTGTCAGCCAGGAAACACAAAACCAAGTAAAGAAATGATAAAAACATTCACAGGGGAATTATGAATCCATGCCAATCAATAATTTTAAAATATAATTCAATGCACGCTGAAAAATTTGGGGAGAATCAAAGCAGGAAGGATAACTGACCCATGAAATCTCAAGTCCTGTGGACCAGATTTTAACAATTACAAAATCAGGAACAGTACCACATGCATGGCAAAGAACAAAATACTTCTCCAGTCTTTCAGTGGAAATGTATTTATCAGGTCAATATATCAGGCAGTGTGACCAATATCCTGAAGAGTTATACAAAAAATTTTGATGGAAGAATTGCAGAGTGAGCAACATGACATGTTCATAACTCTTTTTTTTAAGCTTCAGCATTTTTATTTCTTAACAGAAAGAAATATTGACCTGCTTTGGTGACAGCAACACCAAAACCAGTGGCCATGCAATTAATGGCATAGGGATTGTATCAACAGAAAAGGTTCAGGACAATGTTAATTTCCACTAAAATATTTGTTTTTAAAGGAGTTGTTACTACTGGAAAAATTGGAAAACACTGTCAGTACAGAAGCAGCTCAAGGAGGATGGCCCTGACTTGGATGATCCTGAAGCCCAAAACATTGAAAGCACATTAAAATGTATTAGCATGAAGCCCAACAATGCAGTGAGAATTTCCACTACAAGCTGGATGACTATTAACTGCAAACAAAGCAGGAGTCCTCCCGTGAACCTTTAGTCCTTGAATGAGTGTTGTGTAGACAAAAAAAAAAACAAACAAACCCTGGAAATATAAATGCAGCTGAAGCCCTGATACTTTGAACTTACTGTTTGCAACATGAATTACTAATGTGAATGACAATTATTCACATCTTTTGTCTTCATTTTGATCAAACTCCTCCAACATCTCTTTCTTGGGTTTTCCTTTTTCTGATAGCTTAACAGAATTTCAGTCAATTAGAATGTCACCAACACCAAGAGTGCCACGAGCAGCATGCTGCCTGAGGACATGACAAAGTCTGAGTCCTTCTTTGTTAATGATGCAGCACAAGAGGCAGGAGACCCTTGGATATATTCTTCAAATCTACATGCTGATGCAATGTTAGACCCATTCTCCAATAGCTCCACAATTCCCTCCCCAAGAAAAAATTTACAAACTGGATTTTTTAGAATCCCAGGCTCATCCTGAATTCAGAACAACTGTGTCCCTTTAGGAATCCCATACTGTAAGAACCTAAGTTCTGCTGGTGAAATGGGACATGGTAAAATGGGACACCACATTCCCCCAGCTATATAAAGCTGCAGAAAGGCAATGGCATCTTCCTCTCGTCCAACAACAGGCTCAAAGTTGTCATGGGGGAGAGCAAGAATGCTCTGGATGCAGATGTGCACAGCTGCTCACACTGGGATCAACACTGCTTTTGACTCTGGTGCACCTGAGCAGAGGAAGCCCAGTGCCCTCTGGAATATATATATACCAGGAATATACCCAGGAATACAGCAGGAAGGAAGGAAGGAGGTACTGGAGAAGGGGAAGTGCACCCACTGCAGGCACCACTGCCTCCAGCCCACACTGGATTTTCAGCCAGTGCCCCAAGGCACAGGGACTGACTGCTGCCAGCCTTGCCCGAGCCCTCTCCTCTCATGCAAGGCACGCAGCTCGTTTCACTCCCCCAAAAAACACAAGGCCTCTTTTCTTTTTGGGTAACCAACATCAGAGGCCTTTTGGCAACTCTAAGCTAGCAGAACACACACCACGCTTCACCCACTGACCCTGTCTGAGGGTGAAACTAAAACAGCTCCCCAAGTGTGTGTGTCCCACCCAGGATTTCTGCACTACAGGGCTTCCTCAGAACCTGAGCCTCCCTGGTCTCCCTCTGCACATCCCACTGGAGATGCCTCCAGCAAAGCCCTGATCTCTCCCCTCCCTGGCCACCTATCCCTTTTAGTGAAAAGGACACTCTCGGAGGTCACCCTCAGAAGCACAGACACCAGATGGAGTACACAAGCTGCTTCCCACTCCCTCACGCCCAGCCCTCACAGTCGCCTCACAGTCCCTCCCTGGCTCCAACCCCCGTGCCCAGCCCGCTCCGCTCCCGTACCTGTTGCAGCCCTCGCACG